CCCGTGACGCTGCTGCCTGACCTTGGGGAAGGTGGTGGCTGAGACCTTCTGACAGATTTTTTTTTTTTTCTTGTTGAGATTGATCCTGAGTTTGCTCTCACCCGTCTCGGGCAGTGCTGGAGCGGGTGGCAGCGTGATGAAGGGACCTCCGGAGGCATCCAACCCAGCCCCTGCTTAAAGCAGCAGATCTGTTAGACCAGGGCCTGCCCCCAGGTTCAGTGTGCCACCACCCTCAGAGTGATTTGTCTCTGATGTCTAAGCAGAAGTTCTCTTGCTGCAGCTTGTCTGCTGCGTCTTGTCTCATCAATGCAAAGCTTTGAGGAAAGTCTGGCTCCATCTTCTCTGCAACCACTCATTAGGCGACCTCAAGATCATTTCCCTGAGAAGCCCCAGCTTCTCCTTGTATGTCTTACCACATCCTCCAGCCCCTGGCTGTCTTGCTGGACTCACTCCTGTGTGTCTGTGCCTTTCTGGTCCTGGGGAGCCCAAACTGGGTGCTGAGTCCCCGCTGTGCTCTGGCAGATGCCAAGTGGAGGAGTGGGATCCCTTCCCCGGACCTCCTGGCTGTCATCTTGCACCACCCAGGAGCTGGTTCACTGCCTGTGCTGCTGACTCCTCTTCAACTCATCCACCACCTTGCCACAAGGCTTTTTCAGCAAAGCTGCTTTCTAACCACCGGGGCACGTCCATCCCAGGTGCAGGACTTTGTATTTGCCTCTGTTGAACTTTAGGGGCTTTCTTGCAGCCTGGTGAGTTCCCTCTGAGGAGCAGCCCTACCCACCAGCGTACCAACTGCCTTGCTAACGGAGGCATTAAGCAGCATCGGTCCAGATCAAGGCTCCAGACAGCTCTTTGCAGAGCTCAAAATGGGTAAGGAGTCAGCTTTACTGCCCAAATGGGGCGAGTGCTGGGTGCCACCATGGCTCACACGCCGCTGGCCCAAGAGCCTCTCCTGGGACAGGAGAGCTGTTAAACCCTCTGCGTCCTCTGGGTTTTGGCAACAGTGCTTGTTGTTACGTGGAGATAATTGTACTGCAGTCACACCAAAATCATATGTACCTAGGATCAGCAGCTGTCTTGGCCCGAGTTTGAAAAGCATCCAAAGGAGGGTAGTACCATCCATGTGCTGAGTGAATCTCTGAGCCGTGCACAAATAACCTTCTGTCTTGGCTCCTGGCTGCCTGAATCCCTCCCCGTCCCTCTTTATAAAAGTCAGGTGCTGATGGAAGTAGCTTTTTCCTGTCCTCCCGGCATGTGATCCCTGTGCTGGGCGAGACTGGAGCCAGCCCTTTGCTCGCAGGGTGACTCTGCCCTCCTGGATGCCGGGGGAATGCCAGGACTTAGGGGGAAGGGGGGGCATGTTAAAAACACTGCTTGTCTAACAAAGTTCAGCTTCAGGTCCAACTGTAGCTCCTTTCCCTCCATCTGTGCTTGGGTCTTGCTGCCGCCTAATCCAGTGGGAATGGAGCTGCCTTGCCGTGGCTGCTTGCTCTGTAGGGAAGGGGTGTAGGGGGATTTGTCACCGGTTTGGCCCTACTTGGTCCTTCTGCAGACCCCAGTGACTAGGAGAAGGAAGATTTCCCTGAAGGGCTGGTCCCGTCTCAGGTCTGAGCCCAGGTGTGAGCGGGGGACATGGTGACGGTTTCCATCTCCTTGCCTTGATCTTACCCTGAACATGTGGCGTCTAATGGGAACCTTTAGAATTTTGTGTTTCCTGAAGCTGGGTGGAGGGGAGTTCCCTTGCAAGGTCTCAGCTTTGTTCCTCCCAGGGTTTCAGGGTGAGGACCCTGTCCTTCCCCCCTCTCCAGGATAGCGGGGGCCCAGCTGGGACCTCCACCTGCCCCCGGAGCGGCTGGGGCACAGCGGG